TACTTCTTGTACTGTATCTACACACTGACAGTATTCATTTTGGTGAACCTATGTACTTGAAAAACACAATGACCTTGAAATTCCTCAAAATTTTTCGCCTGCAGCGCTAAGAGGGGGGCTACCGCCCTCCTCACCCCCGCACCTCCTCTCATATAAGTTCTCTCTTCAAAACGCGCCCCCCCGTGGTTAAACCCACGGGCCGCCACTGGTTCCTAAATTACCTACTGTTTACAATAGTTTCCAGTTATAATCGGTCAAAACGCACAAAGTTTTTTAAATGATGATTACACTTCATAAAACCCTAATTTTTATAAAAACGTTGATAAATTCATCTCAGGATTATAAGGTAAAATACATATCATCGTTATTTAATTTTCTTTTATTAATTTTGTGTACATATCCATAAGCGGCTTCTGAGCAACGCCAAACTGATTTTTGGATGTTTGCACACTTATTTTTACGGTGATAAAATTGAAAAAAAATCATGCACCCTGAATTTAAACATAACAATACAGACACCCCAAATCTTAGACATTAATAGTCTAGTTAGTAGTACTCAGCCAATAATCAACTACTTATTACTACCCATTGATAATAAATTTTCGTTGATGTGAATTTAAAATAATTAATTTCCAATTTTATTCACAGCTTTATCTTAACCTTCGCGATGAGCATAAATCTATAAAGGTGGTCAAAAATGAATCTATGGAAAAGGTCAAAGGTGCACGTCATCAATTCACCTGCACTCAATTGAAAAAGAACAGAGAAGAGGATGCAGAACTAATTGTGGCTCACGCGGGTGACAGCGGAAGTTTTCTGGAAGAGATATTTCAGAAGTTGCTATGGGAATTACAGAAATAGTAAGAATCCAGAAATTAAATCGTTTACAAAGTGAATTAATAGATCTAAAATAATGATCTAATAATATTTTCAACCAGTAAAGTAAATTAGGAAAAGTAAATTTAATAAACAAGCATGTGTAACATATTAATAATGTTTTAGTTTTCTGTATTTAGTTTCAGCAATACCTACAGTAGTTTTAATTTATCAATTATCTCAAGACTGCGCCCAGTGTATTGCCATTAATGCTTCTTTTGCTAGATAATGACGAGAAATATTTACTGACTTATATTCTAAAAACAGGAATACCACAAATCGTAAAAATGAAATTAGATAAAGAGTACCTATGCAATGCTGCATTAGTTTATGATATAGAAACTCACTTTTAAGTAAAAAATCGGCAGCAATTTTATCAATAGAATTTAGTGATTTTAATGACAAGGTATAAAATAAAATCTACCGATTTATTTGGTAAATCGATCCAAGAATTATTTGTTAATTTTGCTACAAGCTGATGATAATAATGATGCTATAGGAATTTGAACTCGATGCAATGTAATTGCAATCAATATATTAGCAAATGAGCTACAATTATTTTTTTTTTTTTAAAAGAAGTAACTTTTTGTTGACTATAAATATTTTATATTTATGTATCATTTTATATCGAATTTCACCAAAGGAAACGACCCTATTAAAGTTAGAAATTATGACATTAAATAATACCTTTCAGAGAGTCAAAAATGAGGAACTACAAGGAAAAGGTTCACAACAAATTTTACGAAAATTGCTTTGTCAAAGTAAATGATATAAGGGTTTTAACAACAGAAAACATTTTACAAACTACCCAAGTCAAATTAATAATTCAGGTTACTATAATCTAAGATATAATTCAAGACAATTCTCTAGTAATTCAACAAATGTCAAAATAATTTATATTTTATTTTTTTGGATAAACGAATATAAAATGTGTATTCAGGTACCGTCACGATTCACATACGAGATACAGCTAAATGGAATAAATTCGATATCTCAATTATTGTGAATATTTATTAAAAATGACATCTTGAACGTAAAAATTTCATCCCTAAATTCAATCACCTTCGAGTGGCAGTTGCAACTCCTAAATTTTTAAATGGGAATCTCTTAAAAATGCTATGGTTTTCATATTTATTGCAAAATTTAACGGTCTGTTTGACATGTTCAACATAAAAAAAAAGAAGAAAAGAGAAGAGAGTTTGAAAACCCACATAGTTTAAGACGACAAGCAGCTTCAACATTGAATGTTCCCCATTTCTCGATCGAGACTAATCCCAAATCAGGAGCTTAATGAGGACAATTTTGATAGAAGCGCAACAGATCATTTAGTAAAAATTGGTACAACAAATATGAGTGGTTAACAGGTAGTGAAACGAAAAACAAAATATGTGAAAGATACTACTGAATCCTGAAAAAACACGAGCATACATGTTCATCATTAAAATTTAAATTACTAGGAGAACAAAACATTCAAACTTTTCTTGATTCGGCATTTCGTGACAATATTTTAAAACATAATAAAGTCGTTGACAAAAATAGAGACATTGTAAAGCGCCTTATTGATATGGTTATTTACTTATTTATTTATTAGAATTTTATTTTACTTTATTGTTAGTAATTTCAGTAAATGCTACTGCTATAAAACTGATAGAGAATTTTACTCTTTTTTTAGATAATTACAGGGTAGCCCATCGAAAACGTATCGCAAGGCATTACAGGGTAGTAAAGAACTTTTCGGCAAAATCTAAAAACAGGTCAAATTTGTTTCTGAGGGGGACAACTTTTGGCTCAAAAAGCATACCAAAATCTTCAACCCCCTAAGTGGGGGTGCTATCCCCTAAATTTTTTCAAATGGGAATGGGGGTCAAGTGGGGGGTTATTAGAAAGGGCTTTTAATTCTCTATACATCGATTCTTACTTTTTGAAAATCGATTCATTATTTTAGAAAATATGCAGCTTTGAAAATACGAACAATATTTTTGACGAGAAATGCGAAAATCGATTTAATTTTACTTCAAAACTTACGGTATTAGTCAAGTAAATGCTGAAAATGTTGTCCGCCAACTTGCATACAATGATACAGGTTGTCTTCAAACCGTTGTCGAACATTCTGGAGCACTTGCGGTGTTACTTCGCGACATACATTAATGATTCGTCCTCGCAGATCTTCCAAGGTATCAGGTGGAGTGCTGTAAACTTTGCTTTTAATGTGCCCCCAGAGAAAGAAATCTAAAGGATTTAAGTCGGGTGACCGAGGGGGCCACTCAATTGCACCTCTTCGTCCTATCCAGCGTCCTGGAAACGTCTCATTTAGGTAATTGCGCACATTGAGCGAGTAATGTGGAGGAGCTCCGTCTTGCTGGAAAATCAGTTCGTGTTCATTGTAAGCAGGGTCGTCCTCTATGATATTTGTTAGAGCTGGGTCGATGACATTTTGTAGTAAATCCAAGTACATATCGCCTGTCAAATTTCCAGGAAGGAAAAAAGGACCTACAATGGAATTTCCAAAAATACCTGCCCATACATTCAACTTCTGGGGGTGTTGGGAGTGTGTCTCATGGAAAATCCTTGGATTGGTATCAGCCCAGTAACGACAATTATGGCGATTCACTAAACCATTCAAGAAGAACGTACACTCGTCCGAAAAACACACATTAAAGAGGAAATTATCGTTTATCGCTCGTTCAGTCATTATTTCGCAAAATTGCAAACGACGATCAAAATCGTCTTCATTTAGCTCTTGCACTAGCCGAATCTTATAAGGATGGAATTTGTATTTTTTTAATATTCGTTGGACACTTGTACGACTCACTCCTGTCGCAGTAGCCAATTGCATTGTACTCAGCGTACTATCCATTGCCACTTGCCCCAATACCGCTATTTCCGTAGGTTCATTTAGTACCGGATTTTCAACCTGCCTCTTTTTGTTATGAACGGAGCCAGTTTCGCGAAATTTGGCCACCAATTCGCGAACAATTTTTCCAGACGCATGTTTCTCAGGATGCCGTTGGTTGAACAGTTCGGCGACCCGATTTCCGCATTCATTGTTTTTGAAAAAAAGCTCAATAATTTCTACTCTTTCTGGAATTGAGTACACCATAATTAATCAATTTAAAAGACTCGGCAGTATTGGTACTCTTCAACTACAAGTCACAAGACAGTTATCTAGCAACTTCTTGTGGCCTATCTAAATACGAAACAAAAAGCGGACAATTTTTTGCTCACCAAAATCAGGCTAAAGAATTCGCAAATCAGAAAAAAAAAAAGAGCGAATTCTTTTGAAGGAATTTACCAAGCTAATACCGTAAGTTTTGAAGTAAAATTAAATCGATTTTCGCATTTCTCGTCAAAAATATTGTTCGTATTTTCAAAGCTGCATATTTTCTAAAATAATGGATCGATTTTCAAAAAGTAAGAATCGATGTATAGAGAATTAAAAGCCCTTTCTAATGACCCCCCACTTGACCCCCATTCCCATTTGAAAAAATTTAGGGGATAGCACCCCCACTTAGGGGGTTGAAGATTTTGGTATGCTTTTTGAGCCAAAAGTTGTCCCCCTCAGAAACAAATTTGACCTGTTTTTGGATTTTGCCGAAAAGTTCTTTACTACCCTGTAATGTCTTGCGGTACGTTTTCGATGGGCTACCCTGTATATTATTTTTTATATGTCCTTCTATACCTTAATCCTTGACTTGACTCTTATCCTGGCAAAAAATCGCTCTGATGATATTTTCGTTTGTTCTTGCTGTACTATTATACTTTTGGAATAACTATGTAGGTAATATAATTTGCAGGTATATTAATTATACCTTTTGTAAATATATTAATTCTTTGTATCATTCTCTTTACTATTGTTGAGATTTACTATTATTATTATTGTTAAGTATGTTAAAGTACCATCCATTCACTTATGACATAAAAGTAAAAGCATTTCACTTGAATAATGATACTGACTCTTATTTTGATTTTCATTGGAGTATGGTCTGGTATGTACATTTTGATTCTTCATTTCGGAAAAAATCATGATTATTCCACAGTACAGACTCGCATCAGTATTTAAGAGACTGATTGAAATGCCGGCGATAACAGATAAAAGGTGATATTTTGTTAAAGTAATAAAAACATTTTAAATATATGAACATTTTTATTTACAACTGTGCACTAGAGTATAAGTAAATGTGACTTTTTATTCTGTACAAGTGTCTACCAGACAACGCGTGGCGACCATGTTTGTGAACCAACTAGCAGACTTTCTTGGAATCCTGGTTCTCTCTGGATCCGTGAAGTTGACGTAGTACATGCCCAAGAATGCACTACAACAAAATAGTGCATACATTTTCTAGATAAAATGCGTTTACCTTTTTTTTTTAACGATTAAAAAAGTTTATAATATTTTAACATGTTACTACAGTGTTACCAGAATGTTACCTTACCACAAAATATATATACTTTTTAAAAATCATGAAAATTTTGTTAGGTACTATCAAGAATCTTTACAATGATATCAATACATTCCAATTCTTTAATTTATGAATTTTTTTATTTACTCACGTGTATCCTCCAGTCCATTCCCAATCATCGATAATACTCCAAGCCGTGTAGGTGGACAAGTTGACTCCGTCCTCGTAGATGGCGTCCAAGCAAGCGCTCAAATAGCCCTTCAAGCAAACAAAAAAGAAATTGCAGAAGAAACGTATAAAAGTGCTTAAAATTGTACCTGGTAGTATGATATTCTGTGATCGTCTTCCATTATTCCGGTGGTATCGGAAAGGCCGTTTTCTGTAATGATGATTTCAACATCACCATAAGTCTTCTTCAACCACACAAGAAGGTGTCTCAAACCCCACGGAACAACCTACGTGTTAAAATAACTTTTTCCATAAATTTAATTATTTTTGAAAGAAACTTACGCCAAACCAATCGCCAGCTCCGACAGGCCATTCCGGCTTTTTCCAGGTCAAGACGCTTATGTCGTTCCCATTACTTGGATTACCAATGGGCGCGTCCGCGGTAGCGTTCACCATATTGGTAGCGTAATGGTTCAATGCCAGGTAATCACAGGTACCCTTGACATAAGCGATTTCCTCGTCGGTGAAGGCGGGGAGGCGGGAAGTAGAGAATCCTTCCAATTCGCTGCGTTGTGCGACTCTGTCTATCACCACCTGAGGCCAATTGCCGATGAACATCGGGTTGGCGTAAAGGCCGATCTGAAAATTTGCCGTATATGAGTTATGGTTCAGTGACGTCACTACTAGTGGTTTAGTCAGCCTACATACATACATTTCAACGAAGTTGTATTCATTTTAATTATAAATAGCTTCAAAATCAAAAAGGAATGAAAATTTTTCTATGCCCATAAAAAAAAACGTGAGCTTAAGTTTTAGCGGCACAATATGTTAAAAAAAAATCGAAAAATGTCATGTTTTTCTTCCTATTTAATTATGTATCTTTTCAAGAGTTGATTTTAGGCGAAAATGGAAGAGAAAAAAAATATTTGTAATTAAATTTTACAAATCGAATGAATCATGATTATTATTGTAAAAATCTTAAAATATTATTTTTTAGGGACTTTTTTTGGGGTATTTAAGTTGGGTATAGGACCTTTATACTTGGCTCAAAAAAACTTCATGTTATGTAGAATTATCACACCAAATTTCATCAAAATCGGTTCTATAGATTTTGCATAATAATTTTGCAATCCAGATTTTGAAAAAAAATTTGCAAATTTTCAAAATTTTGCACAGCAAAAACCAAGGCCCTTAGATACTTGAAAATTTAATCACGTATAGAAGGGCTCTCAAGCTTTCAAACGCTTTTTGAAAAATTCGAATCCATCAATTAGGAGAGCTCTGGCGCTTGTTTAAACATTGGTCGAATTTTTGTACTTTTTGTACAATTACATAGAATAACTGTGAATATTCAATCAAATCAAATTTTTTAAGGCTGTTTTTAAAGTTTTTTGGAAGGCGGTTTTTTAAAAAAAAAACAGATCGGTTGGTCAATTAGTTACGTAGTTATGGCCGATCAAAGTTAACTGTCATTTACACTAAATGTACTAGGACATCCGGGCTAATTTTCCGAAAAATACCTTTGGTTTTCCGAGTTCTTACCAGGTCTAAGTCTGCAATACTTTTCTTCATTGACAACCTACTTTAAAACAAATTTAAAGTTATTTATACAGGGGTCGGCATAAGTCAGGCAACGCTCTCGAAAAATTTGAAACTCTTCGCGGACAGCTTGACACGCTTCGCCGGACCTGCCTCTCCGTTGAGAAACATTGCCGTACATGCATTGATCAAGATGGGCATCAATTTGAACACTTACAGTAACCCTTTTTCGAATCCCTTTTGTAATTTCTTTTAATAAATATATTTTGAGGCTGCATTTTTTTCTCTTAATGCAAATTGGTTGCCTGACTTATGCCGATCCCGGTACAAGCGAGAAATTCAAGAAAATCGTACGGGTGGTGGTGGTGGTGGGGAAGCAGAGAGCGCGGTCGCTTCGGCCTGATCGAAAGTCAATCGGCGAGTTCAAAACCTTAAAAATTTTTTAATGTCAACTTCTAGAGGTCCAATTTTGATCATTTTTTTAAATCGATATCTTGCGATTTAAAAAAACAATTAGCGTATTTTCAAATGCCTAATCATTAATAATTATTGGTCTTTGAACAGTCCGATAATTACTTATCTTTAAACTTCCTTTAATTATCAACTTTATTTTTTTTTATTGTATCAAAGGTAAGTGCATAAATTTATACACTGTTTATCAAGGATCAAAAACAAATTTATTTAAATATTCCAAAATTGTTTAAACAACAATTATTTTCAAAATATGTCGAAATTTAGTAATTAATTAATTAATTAATTATTAATTTAATCATCATTTCTTTTATGATTAAAGTATAATTCAAATATTATTTACTGTTTAAAATGTAAGCAAATAAGTGCCAGAGCTCTCCTAATTGATGGATTCGAATTTTTCGAAAAGCGTTTGAAAGCTTGAGAGCCCTTCTATACGTGATTAAATTTTCAAGTATCTAAGGGCCTTGATTTTTGCTGTGCAAAATTTTGAAAATTTACAAATTTTTTTTCAAAATCTGGATTGCAAAATTATTATGCAAAATCTATCGAACCGATTTTGATGAAAATTGGTATGATGATTCTACATAACATGAGCTTTTCTTCAGCCAAGTATGAAGGTCCTATACCCAACTTAAAGACCCCAAAAAAATTCCCTAAAAAATAATGTTTTTTAACCCCATTTTTTGAGATTTTTTCGATTTTCACAATAATAATCATGATTCATTCGATTTGTAACTAGTAATATTTTGTAAAATTTAATTATAAACATTTTTTTCCTCTTCCATTTTCGCCTAAAATCAACTCTTGAAAAGATACATAATTAAATAGGAAGAAAAATATGACATTTTTCGAATTTTTTTAACATATTGTGCCGCCAAAAGTTAAGCCCATGTTTTTTATGCGCATATAAAAATGTTCATTTCTAGTGATACGTGAAAGCCAAAAAGTAAAAAATCTCCGTGGATATACGATTCGCCCAAATTTGGACTCTTTGAAACAGATACTGTCTGGACTATTATGATTTTGTTATACTCGTAAATGACTTTAGAAATATCTTGACATAAACTGGAAGATAAGACTGAGGTACAATGTGTTAAGAGTTTTCAAACTTTGACATTTTATTATTGCTAATAGTAATGTTTAAAAGGAAGTTCTTAGTAATTTCATAATTATTATTAACTTTGCAACAAGGTGTACAATCAACTGTGTAACGAACAACGAACTTGCCGAACGTTCGCTTGCAAAATTTCGAAGGAAATTCCTTGCAAACCCGTTATAAAGACTTTTATAACCTTACGGTTTTATTTGTAGTGTCTTACCCCGAATTGGAGGACTCTTTCCGACGCTTCTTGATCTTCTGCACTGTCACTTCCAGGTTCAAACCATAACGAGTCGACGACCATCGCAATTCTTCCTACAAGCATCAAATCGCAAAGATTCAATAAAACTGCAGGTGAGTTCGGTATTAACATCTAGAAGCACTTACTAGATACATATCTCTTTGTCCTTTCATTTGTTGTAATTAGAGAAAGACAAAACCCATCCAAAGCATCTAGATATTAATACTGAGCCTGCCTTGCCTAAACAGAGCGAACGGTGAAAATTGAAGTTGAACCTACCTTGATTGGTGGCCCTAAATTCGTCGTCGTAGATGTGGTAAGCCTTGGCGTGGGCCATTATCACATTCTTCGCGCAAATGTACTCTCCAATTCCACTGGAAACTACTCCAGGAGCGTAATATCCAGCACCGTACCCCGCAGAACAGACCTGTTTCGGTTCGTTGATAGTGATCCACATCTTCACGTCATCTTTAAACAGTTCGAAGCACAACCTCGCGTATTCCGCGAAGAGATCCGACACAGTCTCGTTCAGCCAACCTCCGAGCTGCTCCTCCAAGGACTGAGGAAGATCCCAGTGGTAAAGCGTCACCATGGGCTCCACGTTGGCAGCTTTCAGTTCGGCGAACAAGTTCTTGTAGTATTGCACGCCGGCTTGGTTTACCTTGTCGGGGTATCCCGTGGGTAGGATTCTGGTCCAGGCGATGGACAGACGGTAATAGTCCACACCCATGGCTTTCACCATGGCCACGTCTTCCTTGTATTTGTGGTAGGAATCGCAAGCGATATCTGGAGTGGAGCGATCGACAATCTTCTCTGGATAGGTGTGGGCGTAATAATCCCAGATGCTTTCGGTTTTGCCGTCTTCGTTCCAGCCTCCCTCGATCTGGGGGGCAGCATTTGCGACGCCGAACTTGAAGCCTTTGGGGAAATACCGGGAATTGATCTCGTCGTCAGCGAATCTAAAATATAATCAAATATTAAGAAACTAGACATGGCATATACATAAAGAATATGCGACGGCTGTTTTCTGATCAAAAATATGTTCATATAAACGTATCGTTCTTAAGATATAGTCTCATGGTGTGCTATGGATATCCATATTTGTTTATATTTTATAGATCTGTTTTGAATAATTATCGTATATCCATAAGCTGAAACGAATAATCCTTTATTTACATATTAATAAGAACTATGTTTTGATATTGTATATTTATATCCCTAAATCCTTTTCTGTTGTTTTAATATACATTATTATAACGCACATTCATAAATATCATTTATCCTGCCTAAGTGTTTATTCCAATTTCGAACACCATAATTGTGTACGTCTTTATATCTCAAATGGATATCCACAAGACAATTAAAACGATAACATATTCTTTTCTGTAATTTTGATGACGGCACTTTTTTGCATATCCAAACGGTGTCGTCATTTCGTTTATTAACCCCATGAAACAATAAACTAGGAATTTTATTATGTAAGGTCATTGAAAGCTTATTAGAATATTTCATATTTTAACCACAAAGTTCATTGGAAGTGAACCGCAAACAGTTTGATGGTGTTTCTAAGATAGGTAATACCACATTTCAAATTTGGCGCCGCACATTGATATGCTTTCTATCACGTTTGTGATTGGTCGTACTTTTCTTGGTAGTGCCATTACTGCCGTTTGCTGTTATATGGTTTAACCGACATAAAATAAAAAAATTCAAAAACCAAAAGATTCAGTATCAAAACTTTAGTATCAACTAATTATTCTTTCTTCTTTTTAGAAGCAGAAAAGGTCAATTGGAAATCCTTAAAATATAGATAGAAAAAGTGCGGTGCAATACAATTATAACAATACCAGACAAGTAAATAGCAATATTGGTAATTCTATAATTAACATTGAAATAAAAACAACATTGCTGAGAAAGTTTTTAGTAAATTCTTAACAATTTTGTAGCAGGAATACCGAGAAATATACAACAAACTTGCTAAACTAACTTTTCCTTGCCACTTTTACAACTTTGCAGTTTTATTTTAAATTGTTGGCAATATTGCAACAACTTCATGTTTGCTTAATGGGGTGTATATGGTTCCTGCTGTTTTTTCAGTTAGACGATTCAATTCAATGTTGTTCAAAACGAATTAATTTTTATTAATTTCTTTAACTTATGATTAAATTAATTATAAATTTACTTATTTTTGGTTAAAGAATTACTTTTTAATTTTTGTCGATGGGACATGGGAATTACGCATACAAATGTTCTCCTTAAGAGAACAACTTTTTATGCATTAGGGATCGAAAACAGCAAAAAAACAAGCGTACCCTTACGTTTGTTTTACTAAAACAGTTCCTAAGGGCTCTATGATATTTTGAAGACTGGAAATAAATAAGTTCTATTTATGACTAGATGACCTGACAGACATTGTCCTGTTCAAATTTCAATAAACTTATTTCAGTTTTTCTAGAATTTTCTAATTTTTCGGGCAACTTTTTCAATTTTTCTTTCCCTAAAAACCTTATTCGGACTATTACGAACATTCTAAAAAATGGGCAAAACGGTTCAACCGTCATGCGCTTACCAACGAACAGCATTTAATTTTTATTTATACAGTAATTCAGAACTTATCAAAAAAAAATCTAGATGTACAAGGGACTCTTACAGATACAATTTTGTAAAGAAAAATTCAAAAATTTGTTTTACGATATTGACTCCATTTCTCATACCGCATCTATTCCCAAATTCTTTTGGATAAGTTGTGAATCACCCTGTATAGATAGATGATCTAGTGCTGTAATTTTTAACATACAAGAACAATATTTTTAGCAAAAAACTCATGATTGTCACAACAATAATTGTGCAACAATGAATGGTACTTGTTAATTTATTTTAAAATAAGTACAACTTAAAATTCTTCTAGTTATTGATAAGATAATAAGATATCGATATTAACATTTATAGTACGTTTTTTGCATATCGTATATCTTGTCAACTTCTATTTTTACGTCTTCTTTACATCGAATATTGAGTTATTGGACTGTTTACTTATGGTAAAATTGTGTAAAAGTTGTACGAATAACCTAACCAAGAGAGCACCAGGCCTTCAGTGTAAAGGTTTTTGTGGTGGTTTTTACCATACCAATTTGAAATGTATCGATTTAAACAAAGACCACATGGAGTCGTTTTTTAGTAAAACGCTAAAATGTCCCCTAAAATAGTATATAATGAACAGCAACAATTTGTATAAGAACAAATAATATTTTGAGCACTGGAAAGAAATATATGGACATTCTAAATAATAGTAATAAGCTGTTAGATTTAATACTGTAACGAATTTAATTTTTCAAAATTCCCTGCCTGTTGCCGAAAACAGTCTTCACCCTCGTATAGAATTTATATTAAAAACCCATCACTGTATTGCCTTAAAATTTAAGGCTTAAATGAATGAAATGAATAGACGTTTATACTATTTATTGCAAAGAGAATAAGGATACTTGTGCCTTTAGTTACATATTCTTTATTTCACTATCACTGCAAATCAGAGAACTGGTAAAACGTAAAAATATTGGACTTACCCGATAGAAACAAGAGACAAAACTAAGACAAGGATCTTCATTATTGCAGGAAGCTATTAGGAATACTCAGATTATTTTATTTCCAATCTTTTATACTCAAACTTATCTAACAATTAATTACATTTTGGAAAAATATTCAAATGTAGTTTAAAAGTATCTGCACTTGATACGAGTATATTTGGTACGTACTTCATATATTTTTAAAAGCGTTACTTATCAGTTGTATGATGAATTCATTCAAGGTATGAAATTTACTAATTATGTAAATAAAAGAGGGCTCAAATGAATTTGGTATCCATGTATCTATTAAAAATAGATGTATGTACTTATGTTTTGATTTTCTTGATATCTTTTGGGGCACCGAGAAATAGATAATAATTATGATCACGTGATAGTCTTAACAATTAGATATTTTTAGCAAAGTGCTTATGAATGTCACAACAGTGGTGCGAAAGTGACTGCCAGTTTATTATAAAACAAGAACTTAAATTATTATTGATAAGATCTCGGTACTTGTAGTATTTGTAGTAAGATACGACTTTTTGCATATCTTTAATCGTAATAACAATTATTATAAGTGTTTGTTTCATATTAAATAATAAGTGGGTGGATAAACGTTTCGATGAGAAACGAATGATGGAAATTTTTCAGTACCGAGAGATTTGTTTAATAAAAATTATTGCTAAAAGTATATCTACCTACTTGTATCTAGTTTTCACGTTAGGGACCTTTTTTACTAATTAGCATTACTTGTCAAATTTCATCAATTTGTAATGCCGAATATAGTTTTTGCTCAGACCCAATGTTTTAATTTTTTGTTTCAGTTTAAAGGTTCACGAGGCACTGTATATGTCTGAAGACGTTAATTTAAAAATTGGTAAATAATGAGTCCATTTATGAATCTAAAATAGCGTACTGGCAATATTCTATTTACAAACCATAATCAGCAAAAGCAGTGACTAGCTAATTTTTAATTTTGGTGCTTCAAGGCCTTAATTCAGCATCCTTTGAAAAATCATTTATATTTTGTTACTGTTACCTTTTCGCAGTCATCTTATACTGAAATTTTAAATTTTATAAAAAAATCATGCTATATGATGATGATGCTATGAATAAAACTGTGGCACTTGCTTTTGTAAAAACACAAAGACACCCCGTGGTGTCCTACTTTTTAGGGAACCACACTGTATGTAGAAAGATACGCACAAAAGAATTACCAAAATAGGCTCACAGTTTTCTAATGTTTTGTCAAAAAAAGGTAATAAAGAAAACCAAACTATGTATCAATTATAAGTAGGTACATTTATGGTTACAAATAGTCAGCGTTATTTGCATTTAGGTACTCATCATTTTGATGTGATTTATTATTGCACCGAAGCATATTTTATTGATCTGCGTAAAAAAATTGTCTCCTCAACATCGAAATGAATAAACGGTATGTACTTGTAGGTATAGGCATCTACGCACAGACAACTGTTTTTAATCCCTTCAGTCAACCACGTGGCGGATTTTCTCAAAGTCCTAGTCTTTCTGGATCCTTGAGATTGACTGTGTTTGGGCCCATGGCTATCCTGAACATAAAACAGACGGAAAGTATTCAGTATAAATAAAAGCTAACGTTTCTTACGATATTCCCAAGCTCCATTGTATATAACTGTCACAAAATTGTAGATGAGATCTGTTTCTAGGTTAAAAATTGTAGAGGCCTTCCATTTAGTTGATCTTACTCTTGATTCTGGAGTAAGGAAATCCTTTTTCATTACTAGCTAAGTAACTCCACATTAAGATATTAATTACGATTATTTTTTAATACGCGCACAATTTGCTCAGGAAGGTACAACTTCTAGAAAAAATTTTAAGCCCAAGATGGATCACATAAGTGCATTACTATGATTTATTGAAACCTGGAAAAAATGTATTTTTTTCGAAAAACTCAATTTCTGCAAAAAATATCAAATATTTTGCAATTTTACAAAAATGCACTTATTCAACTTGCCAAGCACTACATATTCTGCAAGTTTCGAAAAAAAATTTTTTTTCGTTTTAGAAGATATAAAAGTTATAAAAAATGCTATTTTTAGCCGTTTTCCTGCAATACCTAACTAAGTAATACATTTGCTTGTCAATTGACAGCGAACTGTGCTCAACATTTTTGTTATAAAAAGTTCTACAACTTTTATCTAAAAGATTTTTATAAAACGTTTAGTTTTTTATGAAAAAAACTGTTTTTTGAGAACTTTGGACAATTCAGCTGAGATATTTTTCCTATTTACGTGTCTTTGTTTACTGAACTAAATTTTTGCAAAAAACGAGGTATTTTCGACAATTTGACTGGCCTATCAGATACTTGCCTACTTCTTTTATTTAGAGATGGGTTAAACTGCGCCTTTTACGGAACTGTAACACCTGCAACTGCTTCGGTAACAAAATAGTGACGAATAGTTGTGATGTTTCGGAACAAATATTAATATAATACGATATATTAACCCAAATATATCTCAGAGAAAAGCTTTCATTTTGTAAATATAACTAGATTAAAAATTTTTGTCAAATATATGCCGCCATATGTATGTGAGTGACAATCTGCTCTACACTCTATACACCAACATCAATGTGGCCGCCACGACAGTGTCGCTGGCGCTAGTAAAGGATAGAGCCACTGTAGTAAATTGCAGCAAACGCTCTGAAATATCAAACTCATCTGGTCTTTTGTCGCGGTGGAACAGTCGGCTCCAGTGACAATTACGGAGCAACGCTAAAATTGCAGACTGAATACGCAACACATCTCTTAGACAAGGCGAAATCGGCGGCTTCGTATGAAAAAATTAGTGGATTCGATTTTTTTGCATAATCACCTCCGTGAGATGTCCCTGAGGATCAAAATGTTACCGGCCGGTAACCTGGTCACAATTTTTTTAAACTAATTTTTTTTAAACAAATTGCAAAAATAACTTGTTTTGCTCCGGAAAAAGTTTATTTAGGTATTGGTATTTTGGGGTATTCTAAACAAAATAGTTCCTATGCATTATGCCCCTAAAATCAACGGTTTCCGAGTTATAAACAATTTAAAGTACGAAAAAATGCAAAAACGATCATTTTCAAGACTCAAAAACAATAACAAAAAATCAAGTTTTTGATGTTACTAAAGTTTAAAAGTGATCTTTAAACATCCCTTGACAAAATACCGAGGAGTTATTTGGTGTAATTACATTGCAATGCGTATTATTTTACCTATTAACAATATACATTTTGACTTGCGCGCCGCGCCGCGCCGTTCGGGCACTCCACTCTGCGCCGACCTTGTGTATATATTCATCACCTCACTTTTTGATACATTTTAGCAATGCTGAATTTTTATTTATTAACATTATTTTTTGTTTATTTATATTATAAATTTCTAAACAGTAACAATAATAATAATAACAATAATAATATATCTACTTTACTTAAATAATATCTAATTTTGAATTTGCGAATATCGCAATGAAATTCCCGCGCCGCTATAGGTTAAATATTTTTTCTCGAACGTGTGGAATGGGTATAAACTTAGGAAATATTCCATGTACTTCTGATGTCTTTAAACCACACGTATTAAGAGCATAATTGCAAACGTATATTTGGAAACATTCAATATCGAAAATTTCGGTTACAAACTAGATGAAAATGGTGAAGTATTACCCATATTTATGTTTAATAATACCTGATCGATTGATGTAAATGTTTGAAAACATGTAAATCTAAAGCATGTAGTTGTAGAAAAAATAATGTTACTTGTGTTACTTTATGTGGTTGTATGCAGACGAATGTGAAAATTTTATCCTTAAATAAATATATTTATAAGTTTAAGACATTTTACTCTTTATTTTTTATTTATTTTAAAATATATGTCGAGATATATGAAAAAGTGGGGCGCTGACGGGGTCGGCGCACAGTGGAGTGTCCGAGCGGCGCGCGGCGCGGCTCGCAAGTAAAAATGTATATTGTTAATAGGTAAAATAATACGCATTGCAATGTAATTACACCAAATCAGTCCTCCGTATTTTGTCAAGGTATGTTTAAAGATTACTTTTAAATTTTAGCAACATCAAAAACTTGATTTTTTGTTATTGTTTTTGAGTCTTGAAAATGACCGTTTTTGCATTTTTTCGTACTTTAAATTGTTTATAACTCGGAAACCGTTGATTTTAGGAGTATAGTGCATAGGAACTATTTTGTTTAGAATACCCCAAAATATCTAAATCCGGAGCAAAACATGTTATTTTTGCAATTTGTTAAAAAAATTAATTAGTTTAAACAAATTGTGACCAGGTTACCGGCCGGTAACATTTTGATCCTCATTCAGAGACATCTCACGGAGGTGATTACGCAAAAAAATCGAATTTTTTCATACGAAGCCGCCGATTTCGCCTTGTCTATCTAGTTGTAAGGTCACTGATTGATTAGTGATTTGTTTACCTAGACAACAAAATACACAAAACAGCTTCGCTTTTTATTTTTAACTCCGCGTTCAAGTTAGTTAAATTCTGGACTGTTCGCTTTGTCGATAATTGTAGATACCGAATTCAATTATGTTACTACAACTCACCCAGGACAGAATAGTAGTAGGCCCACCGTTATCGTATGTCAAATGCCTCGAAAAATATCCTAGACCGGTTTACAGGGGCATAGTGAGGGCATGCTTTGTCGAAGCCGTCGGTTATGGAACGACGAGCATGGACGCTAGAGACGAAGCCGCTAGAGCGGTTTTGGAAATTTTAAATACTCCAAGTGCATCCACTCAAGAGGGAAGTCCCGTCGACCATGAAAAAGAAATAAATAATTTTGTTAAGAAGTACCGCATGTGTGAACCTACGTACTGAGATGTCCAATTCCCTGAGTCGTCAGCAGTTTTTCAAACTACCTGCAGAGTTAAAAATTATACCACGATGGTATGGCGCCGACCCGAGGGAATCCAAGGACGACGCCGCTCGCAACATGTTACACGTGTAAGTAGTGTCAGTTTTTTCCCACTTTGTTGTAGATGCATGAAATTTGCTGTTTGTGATTTAAATGATTTAAATTATTGTTCCGTTTATTT